GCCTGGGAGAATGCTTGTCAAAGGCATTAGCTGTATGAGTAGGTGGGTATGGACCAGGCCCAGGTTTCCTGGCTGACAAGTGCAGAGAAAGTAAGGTAAAAAAGGCTAAACATATTGCAGAATGGGGTGACTCTGGCTGACCTTGGCCTTGGGTGTTCTCATGAGCAAAGAACAGCTCAAAGCTGCATGGGCCAAAATGCTGTTGTCTCAAAAAGAGGAGCTCCTTGCAGAGTGACCTAGGTGGGCATCTCAAATGGGAGGAGAAACAAGGCAGCCCTCATTGAAAATGTAGGGGTCATAGGGTAAAGAAGGTCTGCTCAAAAACTTTACTGAGGCTGTGCACAAAGGACAGAAGAGGAAGCTGAGCCAGGATAGCAGAGAAGGGTGTCTGCTGCTTCCTTATTCTGTCAGTCAATTAAAAGCCCAGCCAGTAACAAATTGTCTAACTATCTTCTCATACCCCTGAATCCAAGCACAGCACGCGAGCGATTTGTCTGGGATGCTGGATTAGAAAAAGCATTGCATGTTTGGTGTTTATTTGAAAATTGTTTAACAAAAATGATGCTGTCAGAATGGCCAGTTACCAGATTGCTTGCCGGGATTATTTTAAATGTGTATGTCTCTTATTTGATTGCTCAGGTATCGTTTTCTGTATATTTCCTCTGTTGTTGTTGTTGTTTGCAATGAATTGATTTATGTTGCTAGAAAGTCTGTCTGCCTGATCTGCCAAAAGTAGGCACTTGGGAATGATTTTGGGTTGATTATAGTATTTGCTTTCTTATTTTTCTTGCCTCTGACTGCTAGCGCATGTTGCTGAAATAGGATTTTGAGGTAGCCGGTTTATTCCTTTGTTCCCTGCCTGTGTAGATTTAGCTGCCACCTTGGGGAGGGTGGTGTAGGGGCAGTGGAGCTGGAGGGAGTGCGGAAAGAGGAGGAAGGTGCAGTGCCAAATATTGCTGCTCTCTATATCCCGTCCTCCCTGGTTTCTGTCTCTGGACGTGACTGGTTTCCTGGCCCTCTGTAGAGTCTACACCTTCTTTGTTCCCTTCCTCAACAAGTTCATCACTGGTGTGCGCTTGGGGGGGGGGGGGGTACTCCCTTCTGTGGGGGGGGGTTCTTCCTTTGGATAATGGGAAGGATCCACTGTCACTCGCAGAGAAGTGTGGGGTGCATCCTCAGTGTGACTTGTAGCTCCATGGCAAATTGTTGGGGCCAACAGCAGATTTGTGTTGCCTTCTCTTGCTTTTTGGTGGGACCACTTCAGTTCCTTCCCTTCATGACATGTGGCAGCTCATCCTGATAGCACCTGAGTTGCTGGATCTCCCTCGCAGTATCTGAACAAGCCTTGCTATTTGGGGGCTAATCTCTACATGGTCTGTATTCCTCTTTTCTCTTCACAAGCCAGGGAGATCCAGGACTTCCTTCCTGGGCCAGGGTACATCAGAGTTGAGCTTTAGCTTTGCATCAAGCAGGGGTGGGCAATTATTTGGGGCAGAAAACCTCTTACTGAGTTTTGGCAAGCCATCAAGGGCTGCATGAATAGACAGCCAGGGGCAGATAAATATTAATTTCTAAATTTTTTAGGGGTCCTGCAGGCCGGATAGAATAGCCTGGCGGGCCGCATCCGGCCCCCGGGCCACATTTTGCCCACCCCTGGCATAAAGCCTGTCCTCTGGACTTGTTCAGGTGGGCTATCGGAAAGAGACATCTTTTCCACAGCACCTCACAGGTCTGTATTACCTAGACACTAGACCTTGAAACTGTGATGGGAGCAGTCACCTTTGTGAGGTCAAGGGTATTGTGGGATTGTTGCTAGAGGACTGTACTAGTACAGTTAATGAAGCATCCGCATAGACAGTGTACGCACAGATTAGTGCTGGGTCTGGTCTTATTCGGTCTGGGGAGCTGATCTAACACAACAGGCATAAGCTCTGGCTTTCACTGACAGGGCTTAAAACTAAATGTTGCCACAAAGCTGTGCCAACAGAAAGCCAGTTTTGGCCTTGAGGCTTGGTGCTGCGGGCAAGGCCTTCCTAACATGGTATTTAGCATCCAGGTGACGTGCAGACATGTTTAGAGCTGGTCTCATGTTAGCGATGTGACTAGAGATAGCTGTGCAGATGGGGCCTTACTGGCAACGTTCAACGCCTCTTCCCTGGAATCGGAGGAGGACAGACAGGTCTCCCCACCCCATCTGGAGGGCTCAGCTCCTTGTGAAAAGGTTGAAGTAGGAAGATCTGAGGGCCCCGTTCCCCTCAGCTGCCTCCCAGGCATCCTTTGTCGAGGGAAACCATCACTTCCTTCAGCTCTGTCCCTCTCTCCCCTCCTCTCACTTTTATCGTGGTGTAAATTAATTGACCGAAATGTGAAATGAGAAAAGCAGATCAAAGATAGACCCATCTGCATGGGAGAAATGCTCCTCCAGGCTCTCTTTCTGCGGTGTATTTTATTGGAGGTCACTGTCAGACATTTTTAAAGGCTGCTGTTGTGAGCTTTTCCCTTGGTAGGCTGAGGCCTTTGCATCATGCCTTCCTGCATGTCAGAGCTGCCACTAATCCACAGTAGCTGGCCTGGGGTTGGAATGACCATGTGATAAATCCCCACACATCTTGACGCAGACATTAGTCACATTTAGCTGCTGTTGTCCCACCAGGAGCAGGCACAGCGATACTTTTGCCTTTGCAGCTCTGAGCCGGGCTAACTGAGTTAGTGCCGTTACACAGGGACGCACGGTAGTGCTTGCTGCTTTGGTCTGTCGTACGCGATGAGCAATGTTCTCCTCCACTCCTGCCTTGTCTGGGACATCCTTGGTTACCTCTTTCTCCTCTTCCCTAGCTTGTCCTTCGGTGGATTCCCCTCCCTGTGGCCATCTGCCCTTTCCTCATCTCCACTGAGGCTTCTCAGGATTCCCGCACCTCTTCTGGTCTTCACATGATGTTGTTCTCAGTGCTGTGCCTTTCTCCCTCTGACTGCCCTTAACCAAAGCCTGCTAACCTTAGACACTTGCTATTGCACCTGTTTTGTACTAAGATGTCATATCCTGTGATGGTCTGACTAAATACTGGCCTACATTCATCAGTCATGGGACAGCCTCTTGCAAGGACATTTGAGAAGCTTGGATGTGGATTTGGAGCAAGTCTGAGCTTTGTTCCAAACTTGTGCTTAGGGTTTCCCTCTCTCACCCCTCCCTGCCTCCCCCCCAGCTGACCCCACTATAAGAAGGCAATTGGTCATTCCTTCTGGGAAGTCAAAACAGCTCGACACGATGCAGATTACATCCCCGCCTCCTGTGCTACTGGCTACAGAAACTGCTGCGTCTTCAGTTTGGTAGTCTGAGGGGCTCTAGGTTTGGGCAAACCTTCCACCTTTTTCCTCCTGTGACTGTGGGTGGAGGGTCCGGACCCACTGTCTTTCTTTCAGGCCACCTCTAGTGTCTGCTATAAAGCGTTGCAATGAGGCTCCTTTGTGTAAGAACATCCCCAGGCGGTGCTGGTGCCATTCACTGGCTGGTCCTTTGGGGACAGGTTAGTGGGTTGGTTCTGCCTGCCATGTGTAGGAGGTCAGAGAACACGGAGGAGACGCTGTATCATCTCCACGTCCCTTTAAAGGAAAATAATAATAATAGCCCCCCTTGCCAGCTACTGCAGCCTGGCTCTCTGTTTCCAAGGAGACGGAGATTCATGCTTAGGGTACGCAGCAGGTGAGCATCCTTCCCAGTCCCACTTCACAGGGAAATAAAAGCACTGAAATCATCGAAGATTGCACTTTTCAACATAAAGGGGAAGGGAAAGAAAGAAAAGAGATACTCTGAGAGCCCCTGTATGCCCTCTGGTGGGTCTGAGCAGTCTCCGTGGCATGGCTCTATACCAAACTTAAATCACTCAGGGTCTGGAGGGCTAGAAGTGCACGGGGCACTGATGGCCTTCCTCCAACCAGAGGGGAAGCAGAATGCCTGGCCCCAGCCCAGGAGTGTGCAGGGCACTAGTGGCCTTGCTTCATAGCAGCTCCTCATGCCGAGGCTGCCACACATGCTAGAACTCCCCCGGGGTCTCCAGCCCGCCTGCATCTGGATGGCGTGTGTAGGAGGAGGAGGACAGATGAGCCAGCGCTGATTTAAGGCTTAGATCTTTAGGCTGAGGGCCACATTTTCAGTGACACCTGGGCTCTTCCTGGCCTGTGCAGGGAGCTCTTTGGCTAGGGGAGAACTGGTCTAAGTGCTCCATTCCAGCCCTACTCTCTGTCCCTAGCATGGAGGGCACCTTGAGGTGGGGAGCCCTTGGAAGCAGAGCATAAGGTTAGATGAGTCTTGAGTGGGTGGACAGGACCCAGAACAACTCATTACCCCTCACATCTTTCCTGCTGGCCCAGAGCGAGTCACTTAGGGAGTAGCTAAGAATTGTGCCACTGGAGTCAGAGATACCCAAGTTCTTCTCCCAGCTCTGCCATGTTGCATTTGCCCCTCCAGAGATAAGAGCATTTCTTAGTGGGGCATGGGGCTTAGTTAAACAATGGTGAGGAAGCCTGTTGAGGTCCTTGACTGGGAAGGGAATGCATTGCTGTTGTTTTCTCTCCGCCCCTTTGGATCTCCAGGGGAATATAGTCATTCATGTGGGTCTAACTTGGACCAAGGCATGGGCGAGTCTTGAATATTATAACCTTCCCTACTGTACAGGTGCTCATCAGTGTTGTTTTCTGGGGGACCCAGGTGGTGGCATCTGCTGCTGTGAGCATTTGCCCTGGTTGCCTATGAGAGCCATGCTGGAGCTGATGACTCAGGCTTGTACATGACCCCAATCAGCCAGGGCGGCTGTCAGTGTCAGACCCTTCTCATTGCAGCCCTCTTTCTCCATTTACCACGTCACCATGAAATCCTTGACTTTGTAAATAAGCTCAACATTTCCTTCATGCTTCCACCAGCGCTGGCAGTGCTTAGCTCATGGCAGGGCACTTTGAGGCCTTCCTGGGGAGTGACAGACACTTTGTTTTCTCTTCCTTTCTTTCAGCTCCTTGTCTCAGATGTCAAACAGGGGAACCCTGCCATGTGGGAGGGCGTATTTAATTTGCAGGTATGTATGGGTCAGGCAATGTCTTGGGGTTTTATCTTGAATTCTAATTTCCCTTGAAGTGCCAGGTTTTTTTGAAAAGATAATTCTACAGCCATGTAAAACAGAAAAATAAATGCATTTTGAGTGGGGCTGGCTTTTGGCTTGGATTCTTGATTGTGATTAACAACAGCAGCCAGTCATAGCATTTCCATGCCTCCCTTCATCCATGCATCCCAATCGTCTCTTCATGAAGGGGCCAAGGAAAATCGGGCACTTATAGATATGCTCTGGGAGGTGGGGGGGAGGGTGCTTTAATTAGTGCAGCTCCAAGAGCTACACTAATTTAAAGCACCCGGAGAATCATGTGTATCTGCGTCTCCATGCTCAAAAATGGCGGCAGGGGTGCTTTAACTAAAGCTCATTGAATGAGCCTTAGTTAAAGTGCCCCTGCTGCCATTTCTCAGCACGGGGATGCTAATACATATGATGCTAGAGTCTGCTCCAATGCGCTGCAATTACAGCATGCTGGAGCAGCCTCCCTGCACATGTATGAGACCCCATCATTCCTAATTTTACAGTGGAGGGGGCGGGGGAAGTGGAAGCAGAAGGCAACTTGTTGAAGACCATCAAGTGTGCTAGGGGGTACTGTCCTTTGCTCAGATCAGTAGGGATTGGTGGTTTCCCCAGCCCTGCATCAATGAAGGAAAATTATAAAAAGGATGGAGATAGGCTTTTCGGTGTGGCTGTAGGGGACAGGACTTGGAGCAATGGCCTCAAACTGCAGCAGGAGAAATTTAGGTTGGAGATTAGAAAGGGATTTCTAACTAGGTGGTGGTCAAGCATTGGAACAAGCTACCTAGAGAAGTTGTGGAATCTCTGTTCTCGCAGGGGCTGGTTAAACATATGTTTGTCTGGGATGATTTAGTTAGGGGTGATCCTGCCCTGAGTAGGTGGCTGGATTAGATAACCTCATGAGGTCCCTTCCAGTCCTGCTTTCCTATGATCTTGTGATCCCAATGTGTAAGCCACAGTTAACAAGTGCACATTAAGGACTGGGTTTGCCCTCTGGATCCCCTGGGTTATTGCTTGCTCTACAAGGAGTTCCAGGTTTCTTCAAGAGCTGCACTTGAGGAGGAGGGTGTGATTCAGTGAGAGGAACCGTGTCCTCACCTGGCCTCATGTTTGCTTGTAAGAATGGGGAACACAATGAAAAGGCGTGTTTATGGAAAGTCTCTAGTACTAATGATGCTTCCCCTTGATGACAATGAAATCTACCCTCTGAGTTAGGGAAATCACCAAATTCTTCCCTGTCTCTTGAGCAATTAAAGATTTGCCAAGATTTTGGGGTATTCCTAGTT